TCACGCTCTCCTAGTACTCACGATTTAAAAGATATATTGTTGTGAAGAGGTGATCTTCGAAGCTTTCATTTACAAAACGACTTAAATCTCTAAAATAAAAAAAAAAAACCTTTCAAAAAATTGAGTTTTACTAATTTGAACGAAAAAAAATCAAGTTTCCAGCCGAATGCAGAGGATTAAATAATAGATTTACCTGTTTTGCACTCGGAGTCATTCCATTTTGAACCACAATTATTGCCCTTGTAATGGTTTGCTCTTGCATTTGTTGACAAATTGCTTTAATAGTCTTAATACCAATTTTTGTATCTTCTGGGAAGAAAACGAACATCTGGTCTGAATTAAAGTAGATAGAACTGAAGATTACATAAAAAGCTCACGGCTACCTGTTGGATCATCATTATGGGCTACAAGGATTGTAAGATCACTACGAGCAGGCTTCCTCTCACTTGGGCGATCACCAAACATCTCTTTAAATTCGTCTAGGGTCTGATCCAGTTCTTCTTGAGTTACGAGATAACCGCGATCGTGGCACATCTATGAATAAACAATCTCCTGATGTATGCAAAGAGCAGGATTCAAACATTTGAAGAAAGTAATAAAATGTCAGAAAATGGAGAGGGTGAAATGCTGAAAAACGCTGAATAAAGCTAGGACAGTCTACGGTTAGCGAATCATTACAAAAATTTATTGAGGATATGCTGTTGTAATTTTTGCGACTAGATTCAGTAAAAAACGTACCTGCATAATGGTTTTCCTCACTCTCCATAATTTATACGTTTCTTGCTCGTCATCTGCCATGATAAACCTACAAATATAATTTTTTCCCACTTCATTTCGTTCATAAAGGTATCAAAAAGTGAGCTGATGTCAACAAATATTTCAAACATGTAAATAAACATTGAAAAAAAAACGTTTATTGAAAAAACATTCAACACAAGGCACAGGTAATGACACCGGTATGGCACTATAATAACTAGCTACCTTTTTATTTCTGTACAGTAAACAGCAAGTTGAGATTCAATAGTTTTGTACTGAAATTCTATTTATGCATTTTATTGCGTGAACTGTCTTCAGCAGGCGCAGCTCCAACTCCTTCTGGTTTCAAACCTATACATATAGGCATATATGAAGGGTATCAGAACATAAGACATAACAAAACGTAAAACACTATTAACCAAACTCTGAACATTTAACGTACCAAAAAGGACGGCTCCAGCAATAAGAGCTGCAACAGTGGCTCCCTGCGCCAAACAACGACCTCGCATGTAGAACTGGGCCACGTTCGGTCTACGTTTCACAGTAGCATTTAGCATCCCTTCAAAACTTACTTTAGTGTTAAATTTTTCAGAAAAGTTAAGACGTACCAAGAAGACAACCAACGGTGGCTAGCATGCCAAGCGGTACAAATGGATTTGTTAAGGCTCTGTGCATAACAGTGGAGGAGAGGTTCTTGCTGTTTGATCCCTCTAAAAATCCAAAAAAAAGAACTCGATGGGAAAAACTAGAACTTGCACATTTCTGATAGGAAAAAACCACAAGAAATTGACAACTTAATCATTTTTCTCCTCCTATTAAGTAACTAGTTGCTCACGAGAGAAATCCTGAGGGATCATAGGCACAGTAGAAGAGTATTTAT